TACTAAACGTGAAACTTGCTATGGTTGTAAAGGCACCAAACCCTGGAATAACTGAGGCTAATGTTAGGCCGGTAAGTGCACCCTCAACATTAATAGTCACTTCCTTAAGATGATCAATCTCTTCGTCACTACCACAACCCATACAAATACCAAAGGCAGATGCAACTAATATGACCAATATTAATATATAACTAAAATTCATTTTTTATTGAAAAGGAGTCAAGAAGTCCAATCGAAAAAGAATACCTTTAGTTTTTGTGCAAAAACAAATTAAAAAAAAAAAATTTTTTTTTTATAAAATTATTTTAAATTATTTTAATGTTATTGATTTTATTATATTAAAATGGTTAAAAATTTAATTTAATTTAAATTATTTTTTTTTAAATTTAATTTAATTTTAATTTAAATGATTGAATACATTTATTGTAAATAAAATTATTATTTTATTTTATTTAGAATTGACATATAGTACTGAACAATATCTATCTTACTCTATTAAAATGATTGAAACTTAAAATACCTGAAAATAAAATTTTTATTTAATTTAATTTAAAGTTGAAAAAATTTTTAATTTATTTAAAATAACTATATTATTTAACACGACTAGTTTCTTCACTTATTATTATTATATACTATGGTCATGTATATACCATAGGAGAGAAACACCGTGATATTAATTACGTAAGCATACTTACAACAACGCAGCTGGTACAGCGGGTGCTTGCATTTGTTCGGTTGAAATGTTGATTGTAGTTGGATGTTACGTAGTTGTACAGGATTCTTTCTCGGAGTTGCTGGAAGGTGATCAATCTCCCAACGGTGATCCAGTGATGAATTTTCCTCCTTGATTGAATTTAGAAGATGAAAAGTTTTCAAAAATTTTTCGAAAAAGTTTTTTTTTTATTGTTCTACTGGTTTCTTCTAAGTATCCTTTTGAGATACCCTGTCCACAGCGCCAAAATTGTAACGTGCCAACCACTTCAACTCAGTATTGATTGTATTTTGAATAAAATAACAAGATGATGGTATAATGTTAGTTTATTTGTAATTTATTTAACACGTAAAATAGTCTAAGTCCAAATAATTAATTTATAATAATGTGGTAAACGAGATGTGACTTAGTATCGACTTGGTGGCTGCTCTGCTGGTGCTCGTCTGCTCGGATGGTGTTCGTCTGATGGACACTTGTCCATCGACGTATTTCATCGGTTATTTCTAATAGGTATCCCTCCTATGGCATTTTTTGTATAATAAATGGTACATAGCCGCGTACACCTGAGGTCATTTCGGACGTCCTCTACGAAATAATGTTAATTATGGATTATATGTTTTCAAAGTTATCTATTTGTGTTGTTTACGGCTTTTTCGTCTTTCCTAGAATATAGATATTGCGCGCGTATACCTATCACGTGTTCGCGCTGTACCATTAATTAGTTCTTATCGATGTGGCCGCTCGGATGCTGATATATTACTATTACCGGGGTTACGTGCTCCCTGCAGCATTTATGTCTATTATTGAATATAATATATATTATAATCGTATTTTACCTAATACAATATAATATAATATATTATTTAATATATTATTACTATTATTAATATATTCGTAGTCACAGCTCGTTACATATTCATAACTCAGTACAAACCAGGGTTGGCACGAAAAAGCCCACCCAGAAAAAAACCCGGACTGCTTTTCTGGGTTAAACCCACTTAATATTTTGAAAAACCCATAAAAAACCCGGGCGGCTTTTCTGGGTTAAACCCACTCATATTTTTTGAAAAAACCCGGGCTTCTTTTCTGGATAAAATACTCTTTTTTTTTTACTTATGTTAATTTTCAGAAAAATTTTCCTTATAGGAATTATTTGTTTTTCCAATTAAAATATTATTAAATTGTTATGAAAGAAACCTTATTATTTTTTTTTGTTAGGTAGGTGCAAATAAAAGTATATAATAGAAAAAACTACACACCAACGGTCAATATAAATGTTAAAATTTTTTTATTTTTAACAAGGTATTAAAATTTAAAATATAAAATACGTAACTTTCCTTTAAAGTTTAAATTCTTATACAAAAATTAAAAGTTAAAAAATAACAAATACTTGCTAATGAAATAAAATAATTTGCTAATTTTCGTGATTTTTCCATATTTTGTCAATTTTTGAACTTTAAATGCTTATAAAAAAAAACTGTGACTAAGGATTTTTAATATTTTTCATCTGCCTTTGAAACAATATACTAGGAGCCTTCTATTAAATTTTCAAGTTTTTTTAACCAACAAATAAAATTTTATTGATATTTTTAGAAAAAAAACTAAAAAAAAATGAAAAATGAAAATGTCCCTAAACTGTTCAAAATAAATCAAAATATTTTGAAAATGTTATCGTGTAACCAGTGAAAATTTCATGTATCTACGGTCATTTGTTTTAAAGTTAACCAAAAACCAAAATCGATTTTCTGGAAAACATAATTTGCCTACAAATTCCCGTTTTTCCTTAATTGTTTTTCACGGCAATTTTTTTAACTAATGGGAAATTTTTACTTTTGACCCCCCAAAGTACCAACTAGATTCACTTTCCTATCAGAAAAGCTACTGTTGAAGAAAATCCAAGCATTTTTACTGTTCTAAAACGTGATGACAGTCACAAAAATAAAAATTAAAGGTGGGCAATTGGGTGTCGCTCTGCTGTACAGTAGGTTACAAGTGGGTCACTGTATAATGGATGATATTAAATTTGAATTCAACGATATAATATCATTGTATAAGAAAACGATTCTGAGCGGAGACGGTATGTCAGTCTATGTATAAGACATATTATACATATACATATTATCTATGGTATTAAACAAAAATTGACCTATAATAGGTACCTATAATAAATTCCAAATTAATCATATCACAATATCCATTAGGTACTTATAACGCGTTAAAAATCAACAAAAACCGTGATACTATCATAGAATATAATAGTACACTTTAGAAGTTTCAAGTACTCACGAATAACATTATTCAATTGCAACAAAATAACTAAAATAATTATTCTAGGTTTTTTAATATGTAATTTCGTCCAAATTTGAATTTAAAATGTCTGTAAAAAATAACTGTGTTCATATATTTTTTAGATTTTTTGGTTACAGCATGAACTATTTATGAGAACCTTTGTGTTGAATTTGCAATCCTTAGCTATAAAAACTGAACATTTTATAATTTATTAATTACAATGATTGATAATTTTCGAGATTTTGATAAATTTTGTCAAAATTCGATCTTTAAATGCTTATAAAAAAAAACTGTGCCTATGTATTTTTAATATTTTTCAACTGATATTGTAACAATATATAAGGAGCCTTGTATTAAATTTTTACACTTTTTGGCCCAACAGATAAAACTTTATTGATATTTATAGAAAAAAAAACTAAAAAAATTGAAAGCTGTAAATGTCTATATGCAGCTCAAAAAGAGTGAAAATATTTTCAAAATTGTATGGTGTATAGGAAATGCTAATTTAAACATTCAGTGAAATTTTCATGTATCTGTAACGTGCCAACCACTTCAACTCAGTATTGATTGTATTTTGAATAAAATAACAAGGTGATGGTATAATGTTAGTTTATTTGTAATTTATTTAACACGTAAAATATAGTCTAAGTCCAAATAATTAATTTATAATAATGTGGTAAACGAGATGTGACTTAGTATCGACTTGGTGGCTGCTCTGCTGGTGCTCGTCTGCTCGGCTGGTGTTCGTCTGATGGACACTTGTCCATCGACGTATTTATCATCGGTTATTTCTAATAGCTCCCTCCTATGGCATTTTATTGTATAATAAATGGTACATAGCCGCGTACACCTGAGGTCATTTCGGACGTCCTGTACGAAATAATGTTGATTATGGATTATATGTTTTCAAAGTTATCTATTTGTGTTGTTTACGGCTTTTTCGTCTTTCCTAGAATATAGATATTGCGCGCGTATATCTATCACGTGTTCGCGCTGTACCATTAATTAGTTCTTATCGATGTGGCCGCTCGGATGCTGATATTATTACTATTACCGGGGTTACGTGCTCCCTGCAGCATTTATGTCTATTATTGTCTATTGAGTATAATATATTATTACTATTATTAATATATACGTAGTCACAGCTACGTAGTTACACCTCATCGCCCTTTCAAAGGTTTTTGTATTGCTACAATTTGTAGAAATACAAAATCTTTAAAGAAAATTTATATAAAACATGGACATAAATACATAGTACATCATTTTACAATATCAATATATATATATTGTTAATAATTTTCATAACGACAATTTTACATAATTTCTTTTCATGACATAATGATTTTCATTTTACATAATTTCTTTTTACGATACATAACTTTTCATCACATAACATAACAATATTTCTTTTTATAACAACATAACATAATATTTTTTTTTTTGTAACATAACATTTTCATTACATAGCAATATATAATATGTTTTTCATCTGTTTTTTAAACATAATAACATAATAATTAAATTTTTGGTTAAAACAATATACCTTAATAACTAATACAAAAACATACTATATTACGATAGTATTGGATACAATATAGTTTTCATGTTAAGTTACATGTTATATATATAATTTATATTTAATGATAACAAATATTTCATAATCTCCAATGGGATTACAGACCAGTATATTTAATAAGTGCGTATTTAAATTTATTTTTACATTTTTGTAAATAATCAGTTTTTTTTTTTTTATCTATGGAAAGTGAAATAAATTTAATAAAGATATATAAGAAAAAATTAATTTGATTTTGAAAAAAAAAAATTAAATTCAAGGTGGTTTGATAAATACCACCATCCAGATAATTAATTTAATTAATCATTTGTAGTAATTTGTAATTTTGCGTCGTACTATATGAGTGTGTGAAAGACGCAAAGAAAACACACACAATTTTGAAATTTTTTAATTAAAATAATATATTAAATTGGGCCCATTGAAAAGTTAGAATTTGGCCCTAGGAAAAGTACAGAGTCCAGTAATCGCTGAACATTCTTTTTCCTTCCATCTATTTAATAAGGAAACGATCATAGTCGTTGCGGATACACCTAATCCAATTTTTAATGGTATAAATGGGGTGCCAAGCAATGGAATCATTGTGGCAACTGTAGCACCCAAACCCAAACCTCTAAGCACCTTCGTTTGAATTTTCAGTTCTTCAATAAACCTACGACATTCGTCATATTGAGGGCCATTACTATCAAGAGACTCAAGCAACATGTCTGTGGCGCTCATCAAAAACACAGCGCTGTGACTACTAAACGTGAAACTTGCTATGGTTGTAAAGGCACCAAACCCTGGAATAACTGAGGCTAATGTTAGGCCGGTAAGTGCACCCTCAACATTAATAGTCACTTCCTTAAGATGATCAATCTCTTCGTCACTACCACAACCCATACAAATACCAAAGGCAGATGCAACTAATATGACCAATATTAATATATAACTAAAATTCATTTTTTATTGAAAAGGAGTCAAGAAGTCCAATCGAAAAAGAATACCTTTAGTTTTTGTGCAAAAACAAATTAAAAAAAAAAAATTTTTTTTTTATAAAATTATTTTAAATTATTTTAATGTTATTGATTTTATTATATTAAAATGGTTAAAAATTTAATTTAATTTAAATTATTTTTTTTTAAATTTAATTTAATTTTAATTTAAATGATTGAATACATTTATTGTAAATAAAATTATTATTTTATTTTATTTAGAATTGACATATAGTACTGAACAATATCTATCTTACTCTATTAAAATGATTGAAACTTAAAATACCTGAAAATAAAATTTTTATTTAATTTAATTTAAAGTTGAAAAAATTTTTAATTTATTTAAAATAACTATATTATTTAACACGACTAGTTTCTTCACTTATTATTATTATATACTATGGTCATGTATATACCATAGGAGAGAAACACCGTGATATTAATTACGTAAGCATACTTACAACAACGCAGCTGGTACAGCGGGTGCTTGCATTTGTTCGGTTGAAATGTTGATTGTAGTTGGATGTTACGTAGTTGTACAGGATTCTTTCTCGGAGTTGCTGGAAGGTGATCAATCTCCCAACGGTGATCCAGTGATGAATTTTCCTCCTTGATTGAATTTAGAAGATGAAAAGTTTTCAAAAATTTTTCGAAAAAGTTTTTTTTTTATTGTTCTACTGGTTTCTTCTAAGTATCCTTTTGAGATACCCTGTCCACAGCGCCAAAATTGTAACGTGCCAACCACTTCAACTCAGTATTGATTGTATTTTGAATAAAATAACAAGATGATGGTATAATGTTAGTTTATTTGTAATTTATTTAACACGTAAAATAGTCTAAGTCCAAATAATTAATTTATAATAATGTGGTAAACGAGATGTGACTTAGTATCGACTTGGTGGCTGCTCTGCTGGTGCTCGTCTGCTCGGATGGTGTTCGTCTGATGGACACTTGTCCATCGACGTATTTCATCGGTTATTTCTAATAGGTATCCCTCCTATGGCATTTTTTGTATAATAAATGGTACATAGCCGCGTACACCTGAGGTCATTTCGGACGTCCTCTACGAAATAATGTTAATTATGGATTATATGTTTTCAAAGTTATCTATTTGTGTTGTTTACGGCTTTTTCGTCTTTCCTAGAATATAGATATTGCGCGCGTATACCTATCACGTGTTCGCGCTGTACCATTAATTAGTTCTTATCGATGTGGCCGCTCGGATGCTGATATATTACTATTACCGGGGTTACGTGCTCCCTGCAGCATTTATGTCTATTATTGAATATAATATATATTATAATCGTATTTTACCTAATACAATATAATATAATATATTATTTAATATATTATTACTATTATTAATATATTCGTAGTCACAGCTCGTTACATATTCATAACTCAGTACAAACCAGGGTTGGCACGAAAAAGCCCACCCAGAAAAAAACCCGGACTGCTTTTCTGGGTTAAACCCACTTAATATTTTGAAAAACCCATAAAAAACCCGGGCTTCTTTTCTGGATAAAATACTCTTTTTTTTTTTACTTATGTTAATTTTCAGAAAAATTTTCCTTATAGGAATTATTTGTTTTTCCAATTAAAATATTATTAAATTGTTATGAAAGAAACCTTATTATTTTTTTTTGTTAGGTAGGTGCAAATAAAAGTATATAATAGAAAAAACTACACACCAACGGTCAATATAAATGTTAAAATTTTTTTATTTTTAACAAGGTATTAAAATTTAAAATATAAAATACGTAACTTTCCTTTAAAGTTTAAATTCTTATACAAAAATTAATAGTTAAAAAATAACAAATACTTGCTAATGAAATAAATAATGATAGCTAGTCTGTCAGTCTGATAGTTAATGGTAATTAATAGTTGATAAGAAGTTTAATTAAAAAAAGTCCTCCTCAACTTCTCCTTGAGGGGTTTTTATGTTTAGAAATCGGTGGATCTTCACCAATTTGGCTGCCTTTTCATGACCCAACCGATTTCTAAGTTTGGTTAAGGACTGGTGGCATGACTAATACATTTACAGTTTAATAACAATTTAACAACTAACAACAAAGAAAAAAACTTAAAGCCACTAACGTCAATAAATATTAACAATTAACAATTCGGAAAAGTTCAGAATGTCAATATCTTATATCATTATCATATAGTTTTGGCGGGGCCAGTTTAGAGATAACGCGATAAGGGAAAAATCAAATAACAGTGCAGCAAATACATGGAAAAAAATTCCGATTTTTTCGGATGGGCTTTTTCAGAAAAAACCCGATAAAAACCGCCCATTAATATTTTACAATAAAACCCACAGGGTTATTGGGTTTTTTAGGGTTTTATTGGAAAAAACCCAAGCGGGTTGGGTTTTTTCGATAAAGCCCGGGTTTTTGCCAACCCTTATTTTTGTACTGAGTTATGAATATGTAACGAGCTGTGACTACGAATATATTAATAATAGTAATAATATATTATATTATATTGTATTAGGTAAAATACGATTATAATATATATTATATTCAATAATAGATATAAATGCTACAGGGAGCACGTATAACATTATCGAAAGTTAATTCGATATTATAACGTATTATTTGAATAAGTGGTTAGAAAATGTAGAACGCAACGATACAGTCGCAACTCACCGCGTTCAACGTTAAAAACACTTAAACCAGTATACATTCGATTAGGGACGGTTTCTAAATAATTTGAAATCTTCGTACGAATCGTACTTACGTACTATACAGTTTTACATGTTATTCAAATAGATATAGACGAAAAACCAAATCAATTTACTCGCAGTCAACAAAGTAAAATCGCCGTACATTCGTACTCGGTGGCAATGTGTAGTGCGAGTCAACCGAAATATTACGTAATACGTACCTATATAATATAATGAATTACGAACAACCAGCGAAATACTTTGTACCTACACATGCAAAGTGCAAATTAATTTTACCGACGTCATAGACCATCACCATATAATAGTCCATATAGAGAAATCGAAATAAAATATCAAACACGTTAATTCCACACGACTTCATAATATAGGTATAATGTATATATATATTATATGCATAAACGAGTGCCCTAGTCAGTGACCTTACTATAATATTTTATCGCGTGTCACACCACAATATTGTGGACAACGAAATTATCATAATAATCAGTGGCCTAGGTTCGATCACATTTTAAAAATGTGACTGACGTGAAAAAACTAATCCTAAACTCTCAATTTATAAAGACGAGTCTGGAGCATTTGAATATAATAATGTATACTTACTCGTGTACACTGTACACGACATCAACGCAATATTGGTAAGTTCAAAGTTCGACGCCACTGAAACATTGAATAATCGTCAATTGCACGTTTTACTTTGGAAATATTTATAAACGGAAAAATGCAAAAATGATAATATACGTGTGATATACACAGTAGCGTAACTGAACTAGGGGAAAGGGGCAAAACAATTTATTCACCAAAATAATCATAACCTATAGGTATAATTACTGTTAGTCTTTACCATGATAGATAAATTCAGTGGTCGGGACGCTACTGTTTTTTTGTAGCACGCTAACGCTACTGCTACTCCCCAAAAAAAGTAGCTCGCTATTGGGGAAACAAATTAACAAAACGCGCTCTGGTGGAAACAATTTGTACATTCCAATTCGGGATGTATAGATATAGTTTTATGTTGGTTATTTTACTTTTTATAATAAATTAATTTTGCTATTTAAACTTTATACGCTTTTATAGCTAACTGTATATGTTGGTAAATATAATTTATACTAATATTATCAAATACGTTCAAATTCACTTCACTTCACTTCACTTAAAGCAAAATGTATTCGAAATGCCGCGAAAACCCGACTCGAGTCCCGACTGCATGTAGGGGGGAACCCCGCCCAACCGTCAGTACGATAGGCGTCGACAGCGCTCCCAGTGTTAATTTGTTTTCCCAATCGCTAAAGCTACTTTTTTTTTAAATGTAGTGCGCTATTTCTAACGCTATTTAAACGAAATGTAGAGTGCTACTTTTTCGCTACATTTTTTTAAAATTTTTTTTGTTTATTTAGATATTCACTTGAGTACTTGGTCATTATTTGTTAATGCCTACCACTATTTTCTTGTAATTTTGGAAGGCAGGTTTATTAAGTGTAACTCATGTATTTTTGTAACATAAATCAAAAAAAATAAACGTTTTATTGAAAATTGCCAATAATTAGTAGTTTGTACTGATTAGAGACATTCGGTCACTGGGATAAAGGACTTCATACAGCAAGGGGATTAATGATTACTAATTACAAAGAATTTTGATTTGCTAAACATTTTTTTAAAAAAGTGTTGTAATTGCCTTTTGTGTCCGTTCCTTTATACTTATAAAACTTATTGAAAGCAGGCCACTGTAATTCGATACATTGAGTTATGCATCATTATCCTCATATGACGTGATGGCTTCAGGTTCTGTCATTTTTAATTCAACTATTCAAAATATTTAAAACTTAAAAGAAACACAGAAAAGTAGAAAACGCTGAATGCCGAAAACAAAAATAGTGATAATAAAATACTAATATATTAATTATGGTTTTGTTTTCAATAATATAAAATATTACATTGTAATAATGCACTTATGATTATAGTCTTATCTATCCGGTCTTATCTTAGTCCGGTCCGGGTTAAACCCGAAAAAATCAAAAATACACTCATCTTGTCATCTTAATTAAATAAATAAATAAATATACATCATAATATTTTAATATTATCATGAAATAGGTTAGAAGTAGCGATAAAATAATGAACATTTTCGCTACGCTAACCGTAAATTTCTAGCGCGCTATAGTATTTCTCTACATTGTATATACTGTAGCGACGCTATGTTAATCGCTACAGCTAAAGTAGCGTGCTACTGTAGCGTCGCTGCAATTAGCGCGCTACTCCCGATTACTGTAGATAATACATAA